TGTATATATATACATATATATTAGGTCGTCAAGATATTAATGTCACGTTTTGGAACACTTTCATTAACCACCCCCCAAAAAACGTACATCACGTATAATAGTTAAACGAACCGCCTAAGTGTAGCCTGTATAATGTGTAAAGTTCAGTATACTCTAATCCCTTATAGTGATGGCACACGACGAGACACACATTCGGCATGTAATCCTATATGAATACAAGAAGGGAAACAACGCACCTGTAGTTTATGGGAATGTTTTGAACGTTCGTAAGTGTCAACAATGGTTCAGCAAATTTTGTTCGGGTGACTTTAGCCTTAAAAACTGTGATGGCAGGGGCCGATATGTTGGAATTGATAATGATGCTCTGAAGACGCTTGTTGAGTCTAGCATAACCCAAGGCAACATACTCGTGAAATAGCCCCGAAATGGCATGTCTGTCATGAAACAATACATAAACATATAAGGTGTTTGGGTACCTTACGAACTCTCCGATGATCATCGTTACCAACGTGTGAACCTTGCTTCGTCTCTTCTGGCGTGTAATGCGCGTGAACCATTTTTGGGCAGAATTGTCACCGTTGATGAAAAATGGATTCTCTATGCGAATATTAAACGCCAAACACAATGGCTCAATCCTAGACAAAAACCACTTCCGACCCCAAAACCTGGACTCCATCCGCAGAAAGTGATGCTTTGGTGGGATATCAAAGGAGTAATTCATTTCTAACTCCTCAATCCACAGCAAACAGTCAATGCAGAGATCTATAGTCAGCAACATTTAAATCAAGCCCTTCATCAGAAACGCACTTCACTCGTCAATCAGAAAGGTGTTCTTCTTCTCCACGACAATGCACGTCCACATGTGGCACGTTTGACGCAACACAAGATTATGGAGTTGGGTTGGAAAGTTCTCTCCCACCCATCATATTCTCCAGATATGGCACCATGAGATTACCATCTTTTTCGTTTGCTGCAACGCCATCTTAATGGGAAAACGTATGCAAATGTAGAAGGTGTTAAAGAGGACATCAACATGTTTTTTGCTTCAAAGCCAAGTGATTTCTTTAATCAGGGCATTAACAACCTGATTGTAAGATGGAAAAGCATCATTTAATAAATGTTCTGTTTTGATATACAAATTGTTCAGGTTTTTTCATCTGAAAAAAGTGACATTAATTTCTTGACGACCTAATATTTTGTGTAATGTTTATATAGTCAATAAATTAGCATTTGTTTCTCAATAAAATGACGATAAGTAGAATATAATTTACCTTATTTTCCTCGACAGTCATTTTCCGAAGACAGTTGACATCATCAGGAGCCACAGTACTTTGTGCCAATCTTACACCATTTTCCACCAGATTGTGCTGCAGTCGTAATAATGGCGCTGATGAGGACTTAATATTCATTTTACGAAGAAAGAGCTTGGCTCGTGTTGAGGATCGTGTCGCCTGTTCATTTTTGTTTCCTTTGGATATTTTTCGTTTAACGGGGGAGATAAGTCGTACTGACTGGTGTCCATTGTTTCGAATTTTCTGAACAGGAAGGGGTAATGTCTGAACACAAACAGAACTACTTTTATCTGAGTTATTTTTATACAACTTAAATAGTTTACTCGTTTCAGGCAAACTCAAATTGGAATGAGCTTCTAGAACATTTTCACCATCAATATCTCCCAAGCCTGAAATGGTGTTTAATTGATTTTCTGAACAAGAATAGTTTTTTTGTGGACGAATACACGAGTTATTAGGCTTAGCGTTACTCATTTGGGACTTCTTTCTCGTTCTTTCAATGCTATCAGGTACACCTATCTCATCTTTCTTTACACTGTCAGGTAATTCACTGGAGTGCTGTATTGTAGGATCCAAATTATCACTTAGAGGATCTGGTTCCTCTGTACGATGCAACAGGCTATCACTTCCATGTTCCGATGGGACTGAGTATTCCGAAAGAGACAGACTACTGTTACTAGAGTCGTCAATGTCATCAAGTCTGAAATAATTAGGATTGAGTTCTGGTTCGTCGTCCGAATGAACATCAGTACTTTTAGCAGGCGAAGAACCGGATACATCAGACAGTACTTCAGAAATACTTGTGGAAGAAAATGAAGGCAAACTTTCCTTTGAAAGACTTGAACCCTCTAGTGTTTGTGAAAGTTCCTCACATTTATTACTGATGTTTTCATTCACCCACGTAAAGCTAGAGTTGATGAAAAACAAAAGAAGCACAGATACGTTAATATACTTTTAACGGCTACTGATAAACTAGCAAGTTGTACACTGAGCAAACGGATAAAAAACAGTAACACGTTACTAAACAACGAGAATGGACATAACACACGCAACATCTTAAATCCAACCTATATAATAATTTTTCAATGACATACGAACAATCAGATCACTGTTTATGGAATGTTCTGGGTATCGTTACGTCTAGATAAACAATAATGTCAGTTACCAACGTAAGAACCCTAACTTATATTTCAATTCCGCTAATTTTACTTGGTTAAAACGTATTCTCAGGTTCAATATTGAAAACAATGTTGTAAATTACAATAATGTAATTTTAAAAATTATTCCTTACGGGTAAATAATATTGTTGTGTCGATCTTCAGCAACACAGGTTAGGTTTGAAGTTAAGCACAAAGCTACACAATGGGCTATCTGTGCTCTCCCACCACGGGTATCGAAACCCGATTTCTAGCGTTATAAGGCCGCTGACATACCGCTGTGCCATTGGGAGGCACAGCAACACAGATATAGCACACTTTACCCTTCTTACATTGTACTTATCATAGCTGTGTGTGTGTGTAGCAATGTACAGTTCTTAATATACAATATAAATAATATTAATACATAAACTAATTTTTAATGGATTTGATTAGAACACTTTAATTAAATATTTCAAATTATTCTATAATAAATATAAAAGGTATTTATATAAGTTTGAAAATAGTAATTTAAACACAACTATAATATACACAATAAAAGTAATTTCTAAAATTCATTGTAATTGAAATAATTGGAATTATTTATTTGGACACTTCATATTTTATATAGGTGGATTAATATAGTTGTATCACCTTCCCTGTATAAAAACTGATAGTGTGTGGATATATTTAGAACCACTGAAGATCCAGATGGTAGCATGGATGGGCAGAGGATAGGAGCTATACTAATAATTTAGGTCGGGCTTAATATAGTAATACCTTTAACATCTTGGTATTTATGTCCTAACAACATATTGGAGGCTGGAATGCTAACTTCAAGGACAGTATTGCTATCTCCATCATTAATGTTTTGTATTATACTTTTTGTTCTTTCTTATTATTGTTTTTTGTGTATGTGTGTGTGAGCAACCAACTTCCCACATCTGGCTGCAGACAGCGAAAGGTGGTAAAGACATGGGAATTGTGGTCTAGAGCACCCACATCTGCTCCATTTCTGTTTACTCTCTTCTAAGCATGTCAGGCCGACGAAGTTGAGGTTAAACTGGAAAAACGGTGCACCCCCAACACAATAACCCACATTATGATTTGTGCCCCGATGTTGGATGTTTCTTTTTTGGCTGCGGTTTGTTTGTTGTTGTATTTTTTTCTCTATCCATAAAATTATATTTAATTAAATTTCACCAAAGGTTTGGATATGCTGTGTAAATTTCACACTATCCTTCCTTTTGTTGTAATCTGTTTCATAAACACTTTTGGAGCATTTTTAAATACTTGTGTATACATCTATATATAAATACATTCACAGGATTTCCGTTGTAATTACTGCCATAAAACTAAAGTATCAATTTTAAAATCAACAAGACTATTTATGAATAATCATATAGCTTCACCTTCTGTATGAGCGTGTAGTAGTTTGAGTATTTGTATCTTCAGATACAAAATCATGTCCAGACGGTACTTCTTTTTCTGCTGGTTGTTCAGCGTCACTATCCAACTTACCACGTTGCGGTGGTCGTGGTTGATATGCACAGTTTTCCATTTTTCTCATAAAGTATACCGAGCCATGTTGATTCTACTCAAAAAAGAAAAAATAATAATAATGAAACAAAAAGAACTGATAATTCAGCTTACTCTCATTGTATGTACTTAAAATATATTTCAGGCGTCTGAATCTACATTCAGATTATCATTATATTTTCCAAATATTGTCAGAAAAATATTACAATTAAGTAGGTAAAGCAAAAGTGTAAACCAATATTTTGTACCCCAACAAATTTTAATGTTTCTATTTTTTTTTGGATATGTGTAAATACAGTAGATTGTTCCATTTAAATAAAACAAAAAAAAAACACACAAAGATTATCTGTTTTACATTGACGAACAACTCCCACCCTAAGCAATATTTACTCGTATTAAACTACAAATATATTTTTTAAAATATTCGTGTGATTCTACTTTAACAATGTTAAAATTTTATGCAAATTTTAACTTCAGCAGATCCTTGTCAAATCGTAAATCAGTTAACTAAACTAGATTTATGCGTGTTTGGATATTATATATCTATGATTCCATTTCAATTTTATTTACAGTGAAATACTGGAATTATGGTACACTCTAATTCAATAATCCATTTAGTAGTCGAGATTGTAAAAATAAAATAGTGTAACTTACTTTACATTATGCTACTTTATAACACTTCATATTTAAGGGTACGTGTGTGTTTTTTAGCGCAAGGCTACACAATGGGACTATATTTATGTACCTATACAGAGTCAGTATTTTAATATATTGAGACAGACACAAAATATGGTTATCAGTTCTGCACCAATCTCAAGATTCTAATTTATCACCTTAGATGAGACTGCTGAGAACGATCCTGAACACTCAGAAACTATCTGTGAATTTGAAAGTTGATTTAACTCGGACAGTGAACGCCTCTCACTGATCGTCACTTCATTTGTTTCAATATTAGCATTACTACCACTAATGTTTATTTCACTGGAACAACGTTTCCTGTTGTTTAACAATAATTCTGCATTCCACGCTGAATTATGCTGATTAGTTATAATAATTTTTGAATAAATGTCATCTCTTCCGTTTATAAAGTCCTCTTTTAAATTTCCAGTTTCATCACCAGGAAAGTTCTCTTTATCATCCACATATGAAGTTTTCCTGCTCATAGCCTTCTGCCACGTCCTTTTGATAACTTGTGGTTTATCAGCAACAACCGACTGATTTACATTGCCTGTTTGATTTTGTTTACATGTATGACTTATTTCTAGTTCATCTTCATCAGGAGGGCTGACTGCATCAAAAAATACTTCTTCAATGGATTCTCGTTCTATAGATTTCATGCTATCTGTGGATGACATTTTCCTTAAACTTACTTTAGCATAATCTCTATCGATATTTTCCAAATGTAACCTCAAAGTTAAAGGTTTATTTGTCAGACTTTCTAAATTATTAACAGGAATCCCTTGGATGTTATTTTGTTTCCGACACGAACCTATTTTGATATTTCTGCTACACAAGGTATCTTTAATCATCTCGCTAGAAAAGTAAGCCATGGTGTCTTCAACTCTATGGTTTGTTTTTCTTTCTCTGGTATCAAACGGAAGCAGCAGTACATTGCGTTTAGGATAATCAAATGTCAGTTTTATGCCTAAAGAAACGTCGCTGTCACTTTTGGATTTCTGTGCACTCTTCATCTTCCACTCTTTCAATTTTGAAATGTCATCTTCTGTCTTACTTCTCTTCAACGGGTTGAAATGTTTGGATATAAACTTTTCATAATAAGTGCTATATGTTTTCGTCTTACAATTTACATTGTAATGATTAAACAAAGAAGAGTTTTGTGCTTGACATTCTATAAGAAACTTGGTACTTGCCCTATTAGTTTTTTCGAATTCATCAACTTCTACAATTTGATTGTTCTTTTCGTCCGTGGTGCTCGCGTGTCTTTCTTTGTCAAGTTCCTCTTCCATACAATCACTTTCAGCAAGTAAATGATTTTCAAAAGAACTAGCAGGTGCTTCAACTAACTCTTCAACGCCGTCAGTGATTTTATTTGCTGAAATTGATATTCGTTTGTGATCTTCTAAAGGGGGAAAGGCTACGGTGCCTTGTTCTGTGATCACCATTTTCGTAGGGCCAAATGATGGGTGAACGCTTGAATCCAGTTTAAGGTTGATGTTCTTTTCTACAGGTTTAAAAGACCTGTTAATTATCGCCTCACTTTCATTAGCTACATCAGTTACCAAAGAAGTTTGTACACCAATTTCGCTCCTCGATCTCACAGGCGAGTGTTTACTTTGTACGCTTTCGCCTCCAGTTTTTCTCTGAACAAAGAAGTCAACATCACTGTTCTGAACTGCAGTTTCACAGGTACGCTTCACCATCTGAGCAGTTGGAATCAGATCCTTCATGAAAGTTATTTTTTCGCCAACTGTTTTCCATGATGGACATGATGACCTTCGAGGACTTAAATCTGAAGAGCGTAATTTTTGAAAATCACTTTGTTCCATATCAGCAGAGTACGAACAGTGTCTTGTCACTTTAGGTTTCTCCAAACATTTATTTCTAAAATTATACTTAACACTGAATTTACACATTTCGTTATTTTGAGTCGAACAACATGATTTTGTTAGATGAAGTTTGTTACAAAGATAACCATTTTCGCAAACGTTGTCTGTTTTTTGAGAATGCAATTCACTTTCATTCTCGAAAGTCTCCAAAGGACTAGAAAATACAGCATTTGTTTCGTCATGGTTATTTGTCGAGAACGTTTCGTCAATTTCCCTCAATAGATTGTTAGCCCAGACTGAGAGCAGATCAAAAGATTCACACTTTAGTGGACAAGAAATAATTTCTTTGCGTTTTTTAGTCGATCTGGTTAATAGGTCGTTGTTTGGATAAGAGGCAAACCTTTGATGTCCATTATCCACAGGAATATGCTCTGATGCACCGTCTTCGTTGTCAGAATAAAACACGTCATCATCATCATCTGAATGTATCTCTAAGTTCTCATCAAGAGAGAGATTATATTTACTGTCCGACACGCATGAATAAAACTCTGATCTAAAATTTTTATATTCAAAATTCGAAGGACAAGACAACTTTTGGCCAATTTTTGGATGTTCGTCGACCCTACGAATATCTGGAATTGATAATTTATTCCTGAATACAGTGCCTTCGTCTTCATTAATGATATCATGTTTAGTTCTTCTGCTTCCAAGAAATTTCTTCCCATCGGAACTGTTTTCACATTCCTTAAGGTCATCAAAAGCTCTTCCAATTTCTTCCTGAAAATATAACAAATACATGCGTATTATCTATTTGAATTTTTATTTAGATTATGTTACAAACTTTTTCCAAAGTACCCACTTATTAATATAATTTATCATCACTAATACTATTCTGTGTGTGAGAGAAAGGTTGTTGTTTTAGTACAAAGACACATAATGGGCTCTCTGCGCTCTGTCTACCACGGACTTGTTGCAAGTTCGTGAAGTTACTATTGAAGAAATGGAGAGATTGTTTGTTTCAGAATTCCGCGCAAGGCTACATAAAACCTATATAACCGTCCCTAATTTTGAGCTAACAGACTAGAGGTAAGGCAGTTAGTCAACAGTACTCACTGCCAACTCTTGCACTGCATTTGTGTGGTCAAATAGTGGGATTTCACCACATGTTTTATGTACCACCCACCATTCCAAAGTGCAGAGCATGTTTTTGCGTCAAGGGGGTTGCAAGCCGTGAATATCTTCACTACTAGGCCACGTCCGCATAGAAAGAGACATAAATTAATGAACTTAACTATAATGACTTTCTGACAATTCTTGAAGTATATTTTCATGATACCGAAATTCAAAAATGGTATTCTTTTTTTTGTTGCTATTGTTTTTCATTTTATTCTTTAATCTCCGAGATAAAAATAAATAAATTGTTTAAACTCTCCACAGTGTTTCAGTACGATATATATCCGCCATATAAAATACAAGTCTATTGTGAAGTGTATTCTACTAATCAAGATATTCGCAAATGCATTATTTTTACAAATGGCCTTATAACACTGAATTGCATGTTCAGCAACTAACCCATTCACTGAACAGTTTAGACCATAATGATTATATCTTTCTTTGACTGAATTAACGCATCTACAGAGGTATTTCTTCAATATTTATTAAACAGTAGTTTATATATCTATATATTTTGTACGTGAAAGTAATAGTTTTGCCCATTTACGAGTCCTGTTAGGAAATTCCAACCCTTTTCTCCTATGTTTAAAATGTTAAATGTTTTTTATACAGAATAGTCAGATATTTTTTTATCAAATATGGTATTTATTTAGTAAAGCTGTTTTCTAAAATACACGAGCTTTATTTTTATTATCTTTAAAATCTGAACACACCTGTTAGTCCATTAAGCAAGAAGACAAAAGATAAAAACGTTAATATTTTTACCACTCTTTAAATGCCTATTTATCTTGAGCTATAATATATATACTACATTTTAATGTGATGTATATTGATACACTGTTTTTAAAATTAATTCAGAATAAAATTCTACTCGAAAATGAGTTCCGAACGCCAGTTGTCACGGAAAGCTATCAACATAGATGAAGCTTTAAAATATTCAAATCCACAAACGAACAACGTTTTATAATACACAATTAAAATCTTTATTTAAATCGATCAACGGTTATAAAAGTCACTGTACATGTTTCAACCTTTTAATAGATGAAGTTTCTTAAACCATTACTCCATTTTCTCAGTTTACATTTTCTACGTTCTCTTAAGCCATCGGATTTAACCTAATGACTTTTAGAGTAATTCACAATAAAAAATATCCAAAAATATTACCCAGACATGAAAATACATATGTTGTATAACTGTCAAACCCTAGTTCAGATGAATATCTACCAGTGGAAGTTTGTTTCGTGTCGGTCCTCATGTTTTGCCTCTTCAGCAAGAAGAACAACAATGTTACCAATTTTTGGTACTTATTTCTCTTAATATAAAATATATATGAAGCTTCCATTTTTCATGTGACGTGCAAGTCTTTATATCAGCCCAGAAACATAAGAACAGTGGCATTTCAACATTTAGAACAGCTGTAGCAATACCCCAAATTTGACCAAAACATCGGTCCTGTATACAGTTATAGCAGTGTTACTCCATCCTTCAAACATTGCTGGAGTCGCTGCCGTCCCTCTCGATGTTTTACTGTAACTTATAATTCTGAAATAGCTACTCAATTCCTGCAAAGTTACTGACTTGCAGACTACTGTGTTTTTGTATAAGGGTAACTAAAGGCAAGAAATCTATATCCTTAGAGATATCTTAGCGTAACTTCGAGTTATATTTCATTTGTTTAACGTGTAATGCACAAAAGCATTATATTTTTAGTAACTACTATATTACTGACAAAGATTATTGACGAAGATGCGATTATGCCCAGTTTTTTTAAAGCACTTTTGAAGTTTAAACAGGTTTTTAGTAGAAACAAAACTGCTGCCGATTTGCGTGATCGATTGCCACATAACAATTAAAATAACAGTTAAACCAACAATAAAAAATTTACCTTGGTGGACAAGACAAACTCGTCATTTCAAACTCTGCATTATTAGGGTCAATAAAAAATACCTTTATCTATATTAAACAATACGAATATTAAAAGTAAGTTTAAATCATCTGTGTTTCCAACAATGTGTGTGTCTTTACCACTAACTGTATATTTTCCTGGGTGGCCACTTATACCAAATTCACATACAAGTGCCCTAGACACGAACAAACGTTGAGACCACACCTAAAATACTTCTTTAAGCCAAACTTTCTACTGAAAGCTACATCCCTTAGCAGCACATGTAAGTACATGCTTACAGATAAGGAGGAGAAAAAACGTGGAATTACACAAAATTATTAAACAGTTTCCTGAATAAAGTGCAGCAAATCCTGTTGAAATTCAAGGTTATAATCCTTATACAGTTACCTGACCTCCATAAGAACGAAAAGTTCAGGATCCTAATGTAAGTAAAAGTGATTTGTGAGAGTTGGAATAATAGAAAAAAAAAAAAGAGTGTTGAGTTCAAAATATAAATAAAACGAAAACACTATTATACGAAACACAAAAACGAAAAGTACAGAATGATCTGGCCGTCTAAGTGTAGGAAAAAAGAAAATAAAGTGAGAGGATAATGGATTTAATTTAAATTAAATTCACACGGTCAGCACGATAATCGGAAGTGACGCAAAGATAGGACTTTTGCTGCACGTCCAGATCCCTTTAGAATCAGAGCTTAATCTTCTCTACAAGTTCCAACACTGCGCACTCTCTATGTAACTAGTCAATAAAAACTTGGGTACTGAAATGCAGAAATATGATCTTCTCCGTGTGATAACCACAAAGTATTCCTCAAACACAATTTCAAGAAGAATACGATGCAACTATCCCAGAAACAGCAGATAAGTACCTTCGCTAGTCAACTACAGACAGCAAGTCCTCAGGTTAAAATTCTGCACTAGATCTCAACCGGATTTAGAGTGTTCCAGTATTACAACTTTGAAAAATTTAAGAACTGTGTAGATAAGAAACATACACCATAAGTTTAGTTTGATTTGCACAAAGCTACACGAGGGCCATCTGCGTCAATCGTACCTAATTTAGCAGTGATAGACTAGAAGGAAGGCAGCTAGTCAACACCACCCACCACAAACTCTTGAACTACTCTTTTACCAACGAATAGTTGGATTAACCGTGACATGATAACGCTCCCACAGCTGAAAGGATGAGCGTGTTTGGTGATAGCAGATTGCGAGTCGTGTGCCCAATCATCAAGCCGTGCCAGGCCTTACAGCACAGGAGAGTAAGATATTCAAGTATTTGCTTAATACAATCTCAATAAAATTTAACGAGTCTGTTGTTAAATCGAGTCTAACACTATTTGTGTTTCTAGTTTGTATATTATATAACAGGACAATTTATTGAAGACACTCTCTGACGCCTGTTTACTGACTATATGTAAAAGTTTATTTAGATACAAAATAGCACAGAACACAACTAACAATAAGCTATATTATATATTATACACGCATGCGCGCATACACTTATCTCTAACTACGTGTTCGGCTGCTCAGAAAACATTTTCCCACCTACCATTAAACGTTTATTTCAAACTTTTATACTACAAAAAACATACATTCTCATAACTCGTACGGATCCTCCTTAAACAATCAAAGTACAGTGTGGTCGATTATTTCATTCCAACCATTTTCTGTATATCTGATCTGACTTGTATGTAACAATCTAACAAGAACGTTTAGAATGTGAATCTAAAGAATTCTGGACTTTTCTTAACCTTTGGTTCAGTTATTGTTAAGTACAAAGCTATACCACGGACCATCTGTGGTCTGCTCACACTGGCATCGAAACCAGCTTTTTAACGTCGTAAGCCTCAGAGTTACCGCTTAACTACTTGGTGTGTGTGTGGGGGGGGGAGGTCCTATCCTTTACAACGACATAATTGTTAGCTTCTTTGAGTAATTTATGTTTTTTAAGTCATCTTCTTTTGAATTTTCAAATTATGATAATGTTTTGTGAATTTCGGAATTGTCAAATCATATATAGGTAGCAAGCTAAGCTTACAGAATAAAGTTGACTTTAAAAATAATTATTGTTTCTGGTGGTATTTTATACCTTAAAACTTGTTTTGTTGTTGTTTTTTTGACCCATTTAAGTTACACATAGTTACCTTATGATCATTTTGTCTGAAATTAGAATCCTTTGGTGAAAGGTAAATTAATAATATCACATTCGTTTTCCAGGATCAGAATCTTGATAATTTGTTTGATCGAGTCAAGCTTTCTAAGCTTCTTTAAATGCACTGTTTTAAAGGTTATTATAACATTTTTGTTTTTCTCTGCTACGAATTAGTGACAAAGTCGGTTCTGAATGCTAGTTTGTTTTTTCATGTTTTCTGAAGCTCTAAGTTTTTTGGGCAGTTTCCCGCCACAACACAGAATATATATATCTTGCACAGATCAGGCTATATGTGTAGAAAAGTTCAACCTCTCGAACTTTTTGTGACAAACAAAGTTATTCAAGGACTTGCTAAAAATTAATCACAAAACTCATCTTTGAAAGTGGCAGCTTACTTACAAATCTTCTGCATTTCCGCTTGTGTTAGTTTGCTACTGGTGATATTTTCAATGTATGATCCTACTACATCCTTACAGGCAACATCACTAAATTTTAAGATAAGGCACAGACAATATAATATGGTTTATATTTGATACGGTGGAGC